AAAATGCTCAAACTGATTCGCAGCCGGATTTCAACCTGTTCTCTGTGAAATCAATAAGTCATGCTCCCATCAATGTACTAGTTAATATCAACGGTAAGAGCATCAGCTTCCAACTTGACACTGGAGCATCTCTAACAGTCATAACAAAGAAAGATTTTGACGCTGTCACAGGAGGATCAGTGCCTCTACAGCCATGTCACAAGTGCCTAACAACATACACTGGTGACAATGTTCCGGTAATACAGTGTTTCTTCCAGACTTTTTTCTCCGGGGGGGCACTTGAAATCTTCGGGGGGGCGGTAAACTTTCTTCGGGGGGGCGGACACTGTTAAAAGTATATATTTTCTATATAAATTATATAAATTTCATTTTGTTCGGGGGGGCGGTAAAATTTTTTCGGGGGGGCTTTGCCCCCCCGAAGAGATGCCTGGAAGAAACTCTGCGGTAATAGGAGAGTGTATGGTTCATGTAAGTTATAATGGTCAAAGTGTTAAACTTCCTCTTCTTGTGGTTGAAGGAAATGGACCACCATTACTAGGTAGGAACTGGTTAAGTGATCTTAAGTTAAATTGGGAGAGTATATTTTCAGTGGTCAATGCAAAAGAATCTAGTCTTACTTCACTAGATAAGGTTATATCTGAAAATAAATGTGTTTTTGGTAATTCTGGTTTACTAAATGATAGAACAGTGAAGATAAGCATTAAAGACACAAATCCAAGAAACTGCAAAGCTAGAGTTCCACCTTATGCAATGAGGAATAAAATTGAAAATGAGCTAAGTAGATTGGAATCTAATGGCATCATAAAGAAGGTAGACTATTCCGATTGGGCAACGCCCATTGTGCCAGTGTTAAAGAAGGATGGTTCTATAAGAATTTGTGGAGACTATAAAACTACACTGAATAAGCAAATAGAGCTAAATAGGTACCCTATACCTAACATTGAGGAAATTTCTTTGAATTTGGCAGGAGGAGACAAATTCACTGAATTAGACTTTAGTCATGCTTACACTCAACTAGAACTGCATCCAGATTCAAAAGTCTATACGACAATAAACACACATAAAGGACTCTACCAATATGAAAGACTATGTTTTGGCATATCATCTAGCCCTGGAATTTTCCAAGCTGTCATGGACAGTATTTTTAAGGATATTCCAAATGTTTGTGTGTACTTTGACAATGTGTACATAACTGGTAAGAATGACACTGAACATCTTAAAACACTTGATAAAGTATTGAAAATTGTTGGTGAAAAAGGTTTAAAGATAAACAAAGATAAATGTCAATTCATGTTGACAGAAATTAGTTTTCTTGGTTATATATTGAGCAAACAAGGCATCAGACCTCAACCTGAGAAAACAAAAGCCATTAAAGAAGCACCCAAACCTGAAAATACCCAACAACTAAGAGCTTTTTTGGGCTTGATAAATTACTATGCAAAGTTCATAGGAAATCTGTCTGGTAAACTATCACCACTGTACAAGCTGCTACAGAAAAATGCAACTTGGCACTGGGGTAAACAACAAGAAGCTGCTTTTAATACAGCAAAAGAAGCTTTGTCTTCTGACACCTTACTAACTCACTATGACCCAGGGAAAAGACTTATATTAACATGTGATGCTTCACCAGATGGTGTAAGAGCAGTCTTGTCCCACATGGATGAGAAGAGTGACAGACCCATTGCTTTTGCCAGTAGATCTTTGAACCAGGCTGAGAAAAATTATTCTCAGTTAGATAGGGAAGGCTTAGGCATCATTTTTGGTGTTAAGAAATTTCATAAGTTTTTGTTTGGTAGGAAGTTCACCATCTTTACAGATCATAAACCATTGCTAGGTTTATTTGGAGAAAACAAAACCCTACCTGAGCATGCCTCACCAAGAATTCAAAGATGGGCTATCACACTAACTGCATACAATTATGAATTGAAATACAAACCTGGATCTGAGAATAGTGCAGATAGTCTTAGTAGATTACCTTTAAAAAACCAAAGCCTTAGCTATGTACCAGAAGATGTATTTGTTCTCTTCACTATCATGGATAACTCCAATATAGATGTGAATGATATTAAAAGAGAAACACAAAAAGATGAGTGCTTAATAAAAGTATATGAGTACTGTAAGAATGGTTGGCCTGAAGAGTCTGTGAATGATGACTTAAGGCCATATAAAATAAGAAATAAAAACCTTTGTGAAGATAATATAAAAGATGGAGAAGATACAGTCCATTATCAGTCAGAGTTGCCTAAACAAAGTATTTGTAACTTAATAAATGATTATGGTGATATGGCAATTTCAAATGCTTTAAGTAAGAAGGAATGTGATCATCAAACAACTTTGCTAACATCATTAGCACTTACAGAAACTAAAAGAAACTAAAAGGGTAACATCAAAAGTAAATACCAAACAGAAGAAGCTAAATGTGACAATGAAAGAGTAAACAGGTTATTAGCCAAATACCGCACAACTCCTCATATAACAACAGATGTTGCACCATGCGAATTGCTATGTGGTAGGAAAATTAAAACTCATCTTGACCTACTACATCCAACTGTTCAAAGGTCTGTTTCCCAACATCAACATACACAAAAAGTAAATCATGACAAATCATCCATTGAAAGAGAATTTGGTGTTAATGAGAATGTGTATCTAAGAAATTATGGGAGAAAGGAAAAATGGATACCAGGTCAAATTGTTCAATGTACAGGACCTGTGTCTTATAAAGTAAAAACAAATGATGGACTTATTGTCCGTAGACATGCAGACCAGTTAAAAATAACTTGTGCAGGTAATAAGTGTGAATCTGTCAATCCCACCAAATCTGAACAGTTCACACCAACTCAGTTTGTTCCACAACCAAGTTCTGTTGATATGAGTGAACCAAGTTGTCTGGAGTCAGAAAATGTAAATTAGACCTCCTGAGATAGAGAATCCAAATGGTCAGAATATTGAGTCACCAAATCAAAAGCCACTGAGAAGGTCAAACAGGACAATCAAAGTCCCAAATAAGTTAGACCTATGATTTTAAAGGTCAAAAGGACTTTGACATCATTGTTTGTATTTTAATTGTGTTGTAACATATTGTGCATTGTTTGTAAGGATGTAATCTACCATAGTGTTCATGTTACAATATAATTGGTGATTTTAGGATACTATCAATTGTTCTATTGAGAGATGTGTTATTGTGTTCTAAGGGTAAAGGGATGTAATAGATTGAGATAATTGTGAGGTCAAGGGAACTCACTCGTCTGTATTAGTATTATATTTATATTGTTATCTTGAGTGATGTCCCTTACATGTTATGTATATAAGTCTCTCGTGACTTCCGTCTCTCTCTCTTTCCTCATGGTGTGAATAAACTACTGTTAACAACCAATGTGGCTCCTCGTCAGTGATTACAATCCATCACAAAACTTTTAAAAATAGAATAGAATCTCGTAGAAAAAAGAATGCGCACCAAGCGAACGCCAAAACAAAATGCGCACAATAGTGCGCAATATTATTAGTACTTTTTAAATTTACATGCGTTTTTTGAGAAAACGGAAATAGCGTAAATTAGTACTTCCGGTCAACGAAAATTACTCAAAATTTGATAGAAGGTAGAGGATTAGATCTTTTACCTACCTGTGAAATTTCATTGAGCTATCCTAAATAGTACTCAAGTTATAGGCTTTTTAAAAATTCAAAGTAAATAAAGTACCACTTCCGGCTATCGGAAATCGCTCAAAAGTTGATACGGATCTACGATTTTGATAAAATACTTATATATGAAACTTCATCAACCTAGCTGTAACGGTACTCAAGTTATCGTGTTTACACACACACAGACAGACAGACATACGGACAAGATTGCAAAATTATGTTTTTCCGTATCAGTGAGATGTAAAACGTTGAGATTTGTAAAAATCTCGATTTTTTTTTTGCACGATTACAATACTTTCTCTATACTTCGTATATACGAGAAAGTAAAATAAACCGGGAGTGATCTCCCCTAAACTTTCTCGAATATTCTTATGGAAAACAACAGGGGATGGGAACTCGGGCTATAGACATGATTTTTAATCCATTTTAAATACTTAAAGTTTTAAAAATAGAATAAAATCTCGTAGACAAAGAATTGCACACCAAGTGAACGCCAAATAAAAAAGTGCATAATAGTGCGCAATATTATTAGTACTTTAAAAATTTACATTAGTTTTTTGAGAAATCGGAAGTAGCGTAAATTACTACTTCCGGTCAACGGAAATTACTCAAAATTTAACAGAAGGTAGAGAATTAGATCTTTTACTTACATGTGAACTTTCATTTATCTATCTGAAATAGTACTCAAGTTATAGGCTTTTGAAAAATTCAAAGTAGAAAAAGTACCACTTCCAGTTATCGGAAATCGCTCAAAAGTTGATACGGATCTACGATTTTGATAAAATACTTATATATGAAATTTCATCAACCTAGCTGTAACGGTACTCAAGTTATCGTGTTTACACACGGACAGACAGACAGACACACAGACATACGGACAGAATTGCAAAGCCCAGTTTTTCAAACTGGATTACGCATAAAACCTCTTAATTTTGAAAAATCTGGATTGATAATTTTTGCCCGATTAAAATAAGTCCTCTATACTTTGGATGTGATGAAGGACTGAGGTGTAATACGGTGACGATTGTTAAAATTTCAAGTGATTTTTGTGCACGATTACAATACTTTCTCTATACTTCGTATATACGAGAAAGTAAAAATAATCGTGGTAAAAATGCCAGGTTGAACTAGAATCTAGATATGCTTTCTTAAACTGTTTTTAAGAAAAGATTTAGCCCGTATAATAATAAAAAAATGAATTTTTAAAAATCTAATTTAATCTAAATCTGGATTTTTTATATCTAGATCTAGATCTTATCAATGTTCATATTTAACTGAACTGGTGGCCTATTTATTTTTATTAAAATTAAAAAAAAAAAAAGATCTAGATCTAGAGATGTAGTTTTATTTTCATTAGCCTGGCAGCTTGTCGTCCGTGACGAAGACTGTAAACAAGATGGAGAATTATTAATTAAAAAGCAGGTAAAAAGTCAAATGTGCTTCAAGTGCTTGTTTTAATCAAATTTAAAACCAGTAGGCTAAGCAAGAAATGAGCTGATTCTTCTTTAATATTAACCCTCTTAAGACGTAGCTTTTTTTAGAGAGCCGGTGTTAAGAAGACGGAGCCTACTTTCAAATTTTGCACTTGTACTTGTATCACAAAAAAAATTTGAAAAAAAATAAACTTGCTAATTATTTTACATGCATAAAAATATATTATTTGGTAATCTATCATTTTGAGTACGTAAAATCGCCCGCGGCTATTTATGTACGAAAACGTTACCTCATTGTCAAGGCTTTAATAGAAGTATATTGTCATACTTTTGTGTCAAATATTAGGCCTATAGATAAAAGATAAATGAATAATAAACCTAAATCAATGGCTAAATATATCGATATAGGCCAGAAATTAACTTTAAACACTATTAAACAGCAGTGTCTGAGAGCAAGATTTGCTATATAAACAGCAGCCATTTGTAAAATAGAGTGGATTCCCCCTGAATCTGGCGCTAAAAGCTTATAAAAATAAAACTTAGACAAGATGGCTGCTATAGTAAATAAGCATGGTTGCATCTGTTGGAAACATCGCTAGTCCTCATTTATTGGGGAAAAGTTTTAATTCAATTGTTTAAAAACAGGTACATAAATGAATCAAGGAAACATTTTTGAATTTTTAAAACATAAATCCTCCTCAAAATGTGAAATAATTATTAAAATTTAAGGAGTCACCTGTTTTTCACATTACAAATCGCGGGCGATTTTACGTACCCAAAACGATAGATTACCTATTATTTTTTAGGAAATTGAATGAGCTAATATGATTTTTATAAATCTAATAAAAATCTCAACATATAGGCCTACATAATCATATGTGAGATTTCTGATTTGCATAATTTATGCAAAAAAAAAAATTGACTGAACTAAATTACAGTAAATTAAAAAATTTGTATAAAAATACGTTTTTTCTCTCTGTAATGAGTAGGGGCCTAATGCTAATCTAAATAATACACAAACATCTATTTAATAATCTGAATTAGGCCCTAATTTACTGATTATTATTTCTATATTAGAATTTCTAAGTATATTTTTAGTATATTAGTATATTTTGATGACTGGACTGTTGGACATAAGAAAATTTACGATAGGACTCACGGCACTAAAAAAATCGATAAAAAACAAAAAATTAGGCAGACTTTCAATGAGAGCCGCCATTGAAGTGCTAGATACGTACTAAAACAGTTAGAAGCAATCTGATTGGCTGATATGATCCTAGAAAGCCAATCGTATAGCTTCTACTATCACGGCTGAGATCCGGCCGATAGATCGGCCGCCCGTCTTTTTGGCTATAAAACCGGCGGCCGATAGATCGGCCCGGGCGTCTCAAGAGGGTTAATGGTAAAACTCCATTTTAGCATATTTTATTCTCCGCTTCTCGTTTACCTCCAGTTGAGCGTATTTTATTTTAATAACCGATAACTGAAAGCGAAACACACCACAGACAGAGGCTAGACTTAGGAAAACACAATTTATTTATTTGTATTGTTAATTGTATTTTTCTTTTAACAAATGAATAAACATGAATAAACAAAGATAATGACTTTGTTTTAGCTTTTGTTAATTTACTTTTGTCAAAACTTGAGAAAAATCCAAATTTAGAATATTGAATGTGCTATCATTGACATTAGTGACTTAGGACTTAGTCATTTGACTCATTAGGCCTTAGGCCAGTGTTACCTTTTTCTTTTTAATTTCTGAATCGGAAACCTGACTTTGAAACAGACTGGTGTGTTTGTCTCTTGATATTTTACATTTAAACTTTGCATGAAAAACCCTTAGGGCGCCTTAGTAGATTTTCTTATTAAATTCTTTAATTAAAATTTTCTGTCAAACAAACAAAAACAAAATGATCTAGGCCTATTAACTTCTTAAAATTCAAAACTCTTTTTCGCCATCAAAAAAGGTAAAAAAGTTACGTTGGTTTGTGTTTTCTATTCTTAGCAGTAGCATGATGTCATAGCAATTATAACAACATTGGGTATTTTAGTTACCAAAAAAAACCAAAACATCTTGTTAGAAATAAAACTTTATATTCATTATGTTTATTAAGGAAATATCAGACATATTTATTATAAATTCTACGTACAATGTACAATTTAAGACATTAGGCCTTCCATGATGAATTGAACAATCAATACCCATGAAGATGATAATAAAATTAATATCCAAAACTAAAAATAGATCTGACAGAGATCTAGTCCTTCTAACTGTAAAGACAATACAGTATTAGGTAAGATGATAAATCAACTTTTTTTTTTAAACTTTAAAATAAATACTCTATAATTATTTTTCTCTTCTGTGGTAGCATTAGGTTAGGCAAATTTTTTAATTTTTTTTTTACCAGCTATGCGTAGTAAATCTATAGTCCTGTAAGTGTAAGCTTGCGTGAACTTAAAATGACCCTAAGTATGCCTGTTTTACAATTTGCTTGGTTTATGAGGGGAGGGGTAGGATTGCCCACCGACGATCTCTAACAGCCACCGTTAATGCTGTGACATATGCTATGATAGGCCTGCTGAACTCACTGTGAACCCTCGACCGTGTTAACATTTTTCTCCCGCAGACAAGAAAATGTAAGCAGTCGATCTCGCAAGAGACGATGTTTGGAAAATCTTGAATAATAATTTTATAAAATATTATTTCGATCAAAAAAAAAAAAAAAAAAAAATAAAACCACTCGTGGCCTTTCCTATGTGAAAAAATAAAATAAAGCACATCTGATTTGGATTGGAACTCTAAGATTCTAGGTCACCTATCGCACCGTTCTGTTTACTCTGCCACACCACGATGTATTGGTAAATAAAATATTAGACATTTTGTATCAAAAGACGGCTAAAAGGAAATAAATATTACTTCATTTATTGATATCGTTCTCCATAGTAACTGAGTAACTGCGTAAATTTTACACACAATTCCTATATTTTTAACTAAAACAACAGCATTAACCAGGTTGACCAAGTCTAAAAATAAAAAAATTGCCATTAGGCGTAATTTGATCTTGCACAAAAAAGGCTCGGAATGAGCACAATCAGGCAGGCTTTATTATAAGAATTTAAACATTTTATTTATAGATGAAACACAATCATGCAGGCTTTATTATAAGAATTTAAACATTTTATTTATAGATGAAACACAATCATGCAGGCTTTATTATAAGAATTTAAACATTTTATTTATAGATGAAACACAATCAGGCAGGCTTTATTATAAGAATTTAAACATTTTATTTATAGATGAAACACAATCAGGCAGGCTTTATTATAAGAATTTACATTTTATTTATAGATGAAACACAATCAGGCAGGCTTTATTATAAGAATTTACGAATGATACTACACAATGGGAGCAATACTATGAGTGATTCCAGTCATTTAAAAACAAGGTAAATCACATTCAATTTATTTCAATGTAGGTAATGAACTGAGGTCATATTGCTGGGGTTATGTAAGACAATGAAAGCTTAGTAGACTTTGTGGGGACAATGGTCTTTTTAAAAAATACTCTAAGAGACAAATGAAAATGTGCTTTGTTATTTTTATGAAACTAGGGGCAAGAGTGATAGCTACTCTACAGTGGACCATGTCAGTATTAGAGTGGGAGAAAAGGCAGAAAGAAGTCATGACATGAATGGCAGAACTATTCAAGAATCTCACAGCTCCAGGCACTCAGCTGGGGACCAATATCATTCATACTACCAGGATGTTGACCAAATTATTTCACAACACATCTTGCGACAAAAAACTCAAGAAATACACCTTGCGTTATCTAGAAAATCACTTGCGTCTTCTCCTGCTAGTATTAACTTCAACTCCAATTTACAAGTATATGGAAGTCTTACTGAAGGAAGAATTAAAAATATCATGTTGGTTCCTGATCATAGATCACTGACAGGAAATGAAAGCTCAGGGGTTGAAATTTGCAGAAAACTTTTTGGACTGATAATATTTGAATACAGCAATGGCAAAGCTAAAGGAAATCATATAATTAAAGATCGTAAATTAATTGTTCAGGGTGTTGTTGAAGGCTCACGGTCATATAAATCTGGTAGAATTCACAGAGGTAAGATACATTGCAAATCTATTTATCTTATAAATCTGGTAGAATTCACAGAGGTAAGATACATTGCAAATCTATCTATCTTATAAATCTGGTAGAATCCACAAAGTTAAGTTCCATTGCAAATCAATCGTATAAATCTTGTAGAATCAACAAAATTAAGTTCCATTGCAAATCAATCTATCAATCTTATAAAACTGGTAATAACCACAAGTTAAGTTCCTTATAAATCTTATATATAGTGCAGAATCCTTTAGTAGTTAGTTAGATCCCTAGCAAAGAATCAGCAGAGATCTGTACTGCACCTTTTCCCTAGCTCTGCCCTGCACCCTTCTCCTCATCCCACCATGCCTACTTGTCCAATCATCCATGTGTTTGTTCATATACTCTACCTAAAAGGTATTGTGTACATGTTACACAGTATGAAGAGGTTGGGTAGTAACATATCCTTAAGTTCTATTGAGTTGTAATGGAGCTAGGTTTTGGGGAATGATCACAATTTTTTCATACAGGTTTTGTTTCATAATGGTTGGGGATGGTTACAGACATTTCTTTTACAGATTATATAGCATAACAGGCAGTGGATGTTACAAAATGTCATATTTTTGTTTTATAAATTATAATATGTGCACAGTGATTCATTAAAAAAATTTCTAAGAAGATATAGATATATACAAAATAATGAAAAATGTGGAATAATTAAGTGTAGTGATCAAACCATCAAAGCTATATCTATAAAAGCAAAGCTGGTGATGTTTGGTATGTTTGTTACTCACACTTATTAGATCAGGTACTTGCAGTTAAGTTGCAGATAAATTGTTCTAGATAAGGTTTGCTGTTCACTCTCTATTTAACGGGACAATTAGAGTCATTTAAATAATCCAGTTTAAAATTACTGAAAACTGCCCTAAGTGACTGCATATAAACTCGACATTTTTAAAGTGCTTGAATTAGATCCACCTCTGGTGCTGTAGGCACCTGGAAAAATACCAGATTCTCAGAAATATCATTTTGAGGGTTTAATAATTGAACGCTTTTACTCGTTAATTTTAGTTATTAAAGGGACGCAACTCTGTCAGGAATTTAAACTTTTAATTTCCCCTGTTTTTATGACAGCACACAAAAATAAACAAATAAAACATTTGGATAATAGAGAAATTCATTTAAAATTTATACTAAATGGCTTTCAAATAGGTGTGAAAATGGATGAAAAAAATGTAACATTACTAATTTTATACCTCAATGAGCAGACCCGCGGCGTATCATATGCGTATCATACGCCGCTATTAAGTTGTTTTATTTTCTACTTTTTAAAACACTATCAGCAGATTGTTAAGGACGATAACCACCCCCCCCCCCCCCCCGTGAAAGCAGCCTCCTCTTAGTTACCTCCCCTAAGTTTAAAATCGTTTCAAACTAAATTATCTGCCCCCTAATAGCCGTCACTAAACTCGGCTCTGCGATTGTAAACATTTAGTGTGAACCACAGCTCACCAGACCATGTGGGGGTGGTAGGGATATGCTTAGAGAGGAAGAGAGGGGGCTGCTAGGCGCGCTTACAGCTTGGTATTTTCTAGGGTATCCAAGAAGAGTATTATATATATAGATTGTACTAAAATAAAGGGTTGTAACTGTGTCTCAGATTTCTTTCATCAATTCTTTTATTACTGAATACAAACATAATAACATGTGTCGGGAAAAACAAATCCTTTAAAATTTATTCTACACAATTTTCAACTAGGTGTAAAAGTTAAACAGTCTCTAATAACTAGTATTTGAGGAGGTCACTTGCAAAACCTCCATTTAAAAAAAAAATAAGTAGCTCCTATAGACTACTTTGTATTATAGTGTTTTAAGTACTAACCTATTTTGTTCAGAAAGATATACCATCGCCTTTCATGTACATGTTCTAACATATATAAAATTGTATTCCCCCACCACTGTGATCAAACTAACTTATTTCTCTTCACTAAGATGGTCCACTGAGTACATGTTCTAACATATATAAAATTGTATTCCCCCACCACTGTGATCAAACTAACTTATTTCTCTTCACTAAGATGGTCCACTGAGTACATGTTCTAACATATATAAAATTGTATTCCCCCACCACTGTGATCAAACTAACTTATTTCTCTTCACTAAGATGGTCCACTGAGTACATGTTCTAACATATATAAAATTGTATTCCCCCACCACTGTGATCAAACTAACTTATTTCTCTTCACTAAGATGGTCCACTGAGTACATGTTCTAACATATATAAAATTGTATTCCCCCACCACTGTGATCAAACTAACTTATTTCTCTTCACTAAGATGGTCCACTGAGTACATGTTCTAACATATATAAAATTGTATTCCCCCACCACTGTGATCAAACTAACTTATTTCTCTTCACTAAGATGGTCCACTGAGTACATGTTCTAACATATATAAAATTGTATTCCCCCACCACTGTGATCAAACTAACTTATTTCTCTTCACTAAGATGGTCCACTGAGTACATGTTCTAACATATATAAAATTGTATTCCCCCACCACTGTGATCAAAGTAACTTATTTCTCTTCACTAAGATGGTCCACTGAGTACATGTTCTAACATATATAAAATTGTATTCCCCCACCACTGTGATCAAACTAACTTATTTCTCTTCACTAAGATGGTCCACTGAGTACATGTTCTAACATATATAAAATTGTATTCCCCCACCACTGTGATCAAACTAACTTATTTCTCTTCACTAAGATGGTCCACTGAGTACATGTTCTAACATATATAAAATTGTATTCCCCCACCACTGTGATCAAACTAACTTATTTCTCTTCACTAAGATGGTCCACTGAGTACATGTTCTAACATATATAAAATTGTATTCCCCCACCACTGTGATCAAACTAACTTATTTCTCTTCACTAAGATGGTCCACTGAGTACATGTTCTAACATATATAAAATTGTATTCCCCCACCACTGTGATCAAACTAACTTATTTCTCTTCACTAAGATGGTCCACTGAGTACATGTTCTAACATATATAAAATTGTATTCCCCCACCACTGTGATCAAACTAACTTATTTCTCTTCACTAAGATGGTCCACTGAGTACATGTTCTAACATATATAAAATTGTATTCCCCCACCACTGTGATCAAACTAACTTATTTCTCTTCACTAAGATGGTCCACTGAGTACATGTTCTAACATATATAAAATTGTATTCCCCCACCACTGTGATCAAACTAACTTATTTCTCTTCACTAAGATGGTCCACTGAGTTCTCCTCCTCCCCTCCCCATTACATACCCAACCCAAAGCCTGGGCAGCGCAGGGTATGTGATACATACATCACTGCCCTTTACAAATAACTTTCTCCTATGTCAGTACATACTATTTATTAGGCATACCCTAATAAAGGGCAGATAATCGCAATTTAGAGTTCACAAGCTACTGGTTGTTTTTTTTTTAAGGCAAATATTGTATGTATGATGTATGTGTGGTGTTGACTTAGTTATGAATGATGTGAATGGAAATCATAAATATGCTACGAATTATTTTAGGAAAAACTGATTTTCTGTTATACTTTTACAATTCCTAGATGCCAAAAATAGAAAAAATAACTTATAAAGTTAAAATACATTTATTTGATTTATGATAATAGTTTAATGCACTTAAAATAATAAAAATAATTTTAAAAAATGATGTTTAGATCTTATACTAAAAGCCAGGTTGCTGGTAAAAACTCTTTACACATTTTAGCCAGACAAAAAAAAAATTGTTTTATTTTTTAGTGCATTAAAGATTTATACTTTACGAGCTGACCCGGGACGTAGCATACGCCGCCATCTAGTTGTTTTATTTTCTGCTTATCAGCAATTCATAATTCAACACTACCCCTCCCCTCCTTGCCTAGTGAAAGCAGCCGTTAACATACAAAGAAAACATCAATCAGAAATTGTTACCTCCCCTTAGTTTCAAATAGTTTAATACTAAATTATCTGCCCCTAATAGCCGTCACTAACCCGGCTCTACGATTGTAAACATTCATCATGAACCTAAGCTCACCAGATTGGTGGGGGTGGTAGCTATTTGACTGGAGAGCGGGGGAGTAATGGCGTTCATCTACGTCTTGTCCTGCATGGTCCCCATGAAGAGAATTATATATAAAGATATTTTGGTATTGTTTTCTTGAATACATGTTTGATGAAGTCATAAAAGTGTTCTTGTTAGTATTTCATCAAACTCAGGTGCAACCTTAATATTTTTTTCTATCAACCCATTCTATCTATTTGTACTTAATTGTCATCTGTAGGTGACATGTTGATATGTATCAATGATGAGGAGGTCTCTTGGTTCAATTTTACTCACATCTTGACTTCACTACACAAACGTAATGTAAGTCACATTACATATCATCTTTAGATGTAATGTAAGTCTTTAGATGTAATGTTAGTCACATTACCTATCAACTTTAGATTAATGTAAGTCTTTAGATGTAATGTAAGTCTTTAGATGTAATGTAAGTCACATTACCTGTCAACTTTAGATGTAATGTAAGTCTTTAGATTAATGTAAGTCTTTAGATGTAATGTAAGTCTTTAGATGTAATGTTATGTCTTATTACCTATCACCTTTAGATGTAATGTAAGACTAGATAGGGATTTCCCATATATATGGGATGCTGTGGGTGATGGTATAGTGTTTACTAACCTGAAAGTCTGGAGTTTGAGTCCATGGCTAGAGTAGTAGGTATGTTTTGAGTCCACTCAACTCTAATAGGATCCTGACTTACATAAGGGTGGCTGGGTATTATGCTGACCACACTTTCCCATCATATACTGATGTCACAGCAACAGGTCAACTCTACTTCACTTGCCCCTAAGCCTGCCAGTTCATATCAATATCAGTAGCCCTCTAGCATATGTCATAGTATAAACTAAAGTTATTTGCAATTGTTGGTGACGTCCTTTTATATTTCCCCAAACCTAGTAATTTGAAAACGTTCTTGTGGGTAAGTGCACATGTTTATAGCACTAGTACTAGATCTAGTACCACATATTTTTCAAGGATGTGATTTTTCCAAAATTTGGCGGATTTTCAATCCAAATTTCCCGCTGATGTTTTCAGTTAAATATTTTCTCAAAAAAAAAATTGTAAAAAGTAGATGCATTATTAAAGTCACGTTCTCTGTAGGTAAAAACATAACCGATGGATATTTGTAATGATAATAGAAATAGTAGACTGCTATTACTAATTGGAGTCCACTATTTCTAGCATTAATTCCAAAACACTGTTTAAAATAGATAGGGTCTACATCTAATTTAAGCTAATCTGGTCTAGATCTATTTCATTTTCCATCACATGAACTAAAGCTGTCAGGCTTAGTGTTAATGTTATTGATACCCTGTCCATTTTTAAGAATATAGGTTAAGACATTATCATTAACAAACTGTGCAACTAGATCATTACATTTAAAATTAATTTAGTGTTGGAAAAAAATCTCTTCCACTTTTGTTAAATTCTAAAAACTAAAAATAATTGTTTATAAGCGAATCAGTAGATTGTAATTAGGAAGGACTTTTATTGTTATTTTAGGGTAACTAAAACTTGTTTTACTTAAGATTTAAAAAAAAGAACAGATTATATTAAAATTACATCTGCGCTAATCAACTGATGTAAATGCGGCCATACATAAAATTCTTAATTTTAAGAATGTCCTGGAATCTATTTAAAACTCCTGGAAATCTCCTGGAGTTTGTTTTTGATTTTGGTGCATGAAAATTGAAATTATGCTAAATGTTATTTTAAATCTATTCTAATTTAATCTTTTCCTTACTAAGAAATATTTCAAAATCTTATGAACAGTTTAAAGCCTGAATTGTTTCAGTTTAAAAAGTCTATTATTTATTGTGTTTTTAATTAATTTTGATTTGGCCTAAATCAACTAATCTTCAATGGCTCTTAGTTTATTAGTAAATAAATTCTTTATGTTTTAGAATTAGAAGATTTGTCAAGCGTATCCTATTGAAAATTGATTATATCATTGGAACCTAATAGAAATTATAAACATACATCATTAAAGTTCTAGCTGGCAGAAAAAAAAATAATAATTATAATTATAATGCATTACAATATCAAACGGCAACATCTCTATGGACGCCATTCATTGAAAATTAAAAAAACATTTTTTCCCGTGTTCTTTAATTAAATGTGTGTTTTTTCATCCAAATATGTTATTAGTTTTAATGTCTTTGAAGACATTTTTTTAAAGGCCTACATTCATTTTAAATTTAAACAACAGTTTTTTTAAAAAAAAAAGGACTCTACTATTTAAAACTGTACACTTGTTGCAAATTTTCTGATCTCTTGACTGTGACAAATAAACTTAAATGTACAAACTTGTAAATAGTGGTGAATTTTAGTATAGTAAATGAGTATACTAATCACTTTTAGATGTTTAAAAAACATGAATTGAAAATAGCATCACATCAATTTCTTTTTGACAGCAAGTAAAACTAACGTTTGAGTCACCAAAAATTGTGGGCCCTAGATCCAGCTTTCTCCAAGTTCCAGGGGACTTATGCACGGCTGTTGTTGGCAAACATTTGTCTGACATTCTAGTTGAGTTATCTTACCACAAATGTGTGCTTATGTATCTTACACAGATAGCAAAGGAAAATGAAACAGATGAAAAGGTAAATATCAATGCTTGAAGCCTTTCTTTCAGCTTGTTCAATGGAAAGCTTTCCATTAATAGTAGTACTTGGGTAGAGCAATAATGTGTTACATACAGACGTTTTGCCTAGCAATGCATACATTACTTTTGAACTTATGTTTTTGCTAATACATAATACATACATATATATAACAGCTACAAAAGAAGTAACAATGTTTTTCTATCAATATTTATCATATTATAGTGGTAATATTAAGATGTTTGAAAAACTTGTACTTTAGGAAGACATCCTTTATTGTTTTCCCCACACTGAAGATCAACTATCAGCTCTGCGGGGACTTTTTGTCACTCTTAGCTCAGCTCTTGTTGATGTTGTTGGCCAGCCTGCAGTAAGGTGAACATTGCTATTGTAGCGTTAGGACAGTCTCAGGGGTTCAGTTGGGGTCAAGTCACACACCCATCCCATTTGATTCACCATCGCATTTTGCCAGTGTGGACAATAGGCCTATTAGGAATGGTTGGGTGAATGGGTATGTGAAACTGGTGGGGTTCAGTGAATGTGCTTATAAAACTGGTGGGGTTCAGTGAATGTGCTTATAAAACTGGTGGGGTTCAGTGAATCTGCTTATAAAACTGGTGGGGTTCAGTGAATGTGCTTATAAAACTGGTGGGGTTCAGTGAATCTGCTTATAAAACTGGTGGGGTTCAGTGAATGTGCTTATAAAACTGGTGGGGTTCAGTGAATGTGCTTATAAAACTGGTGGGGTTCAGTGAATCTGCTTATAAAACTGGTGGGGTTCAGTGAATGTGCTTATAAAACTGGTGGGGTTCAGTGAATGTACTTATAAAACTGGTGGGGTTCAGTGAATGTGCTTATAAAATTCGTGGGGTTTGGCCCCTCCTAAAAGGTTAAAAACCTCTGCTTTAGGACATTGATGTTATAGTTTTATAGCACTGGTAAATTGTAGCTTTATGAGACAGGTAAATTGTAGCTTTATGAGACAGGTATAAATTGAAGCTTTATGAGACAGGTAAATTGTAGCTTTATGGGACTGGTAAATTGTAGCTTTATGGGACAGGTAAATTGTAGCTTTATGAGACAGGTAAATTGTAGCTTTATGAGACAGGTAAATTGTAGCTTTATGGGACAGGTAAAATGTAGCTTTATGAGACAGTTGTAAATTGTAGCTTTATGGGACAGGTAAATTGTAGCTTTATGGGACAGGTAAATTGTAGCTTTATGGGACAGGTAAATTGTAGCTTTATGAGACAGTTGTAAATTGTAGCTTTATGAGACAGTTGTAAATTGTAGCTTTATGAGACAGTTGTAAATTGTAGCTTTATGAGACAGTTGTAAATTGTAGCTTTATGAGACAGTTGTAAATTGTAGCTTTATGAGACAGTTGTAAATTGTAGCTTTATGAGACAGGTAAATTGTAGCTTTATGAGACAGGTAAATTGTAGCTTTATGAGACAGATGTAAATTGTAGCTTTATGAGACAGGTAAAAATGTGTAGCTTTATGAGACAGGTAAATTGTAGCTTTATGACACAGGTAAATTGTAGCTTTATGAGACAGGTAAAAATGTGTAGCTTTATGAGACAGGTAAATTGTAGCTTTATGAGACAGTTGTAAATTGTAGCTTTATGAGACAGTTATAAATTGTAGCTTTATGAGACAGGTAAAAATGTGTAGCTTTATGAGACAGGTAAATTGTAGCTTTATGAGACAGTTATAAATTGTAGCTTTATGAGACAGTTATAAATTGTAGCTTTATGAGACAGTTATAAATTTGTAGCTTTATCAGTTGTAAATTGTAGCTTCGTGAGACAGTAGTTGTAAATTGTAGCTTTATGAGACAGTTGTAAATTGTAGCTTTATGAGACAGTTATAAATTGTAGCTTTATGAGACAGTTGTACATTGTAGCTTTATGAGACAGTTATAAATTGTAGCTTTATGAGACAGTTATAAATTTGTAGCTTTATCAGTTGTAAATTGTAGCTTCGTGAGACAGTAGTTGTAAATTGTAGCTTTATGAGACAGTTATAAATTTGTAGCTTTATCAGTTGTAAATTGTAGCTTTATGAGACAGTTGTAAATTGTAGCTTTATGAGACAGGTAAATTGTAGCTTTATGAGAGAGTTTTAGCTAAACTTGGTGAACTCATGTGATGGTGTTTGTTCCAGCACTCAGATGAAGCTGTCCAATGTGAGTGTCAATGTGGCCTACAGACAGTGTGGCCCAGACGTTCTTGTATGTGGCATGCCAGAGAGCAGGTCGTCTTCTTGTTTATTCCCTCATTCTCAGCATTATTATGCTTGTTTAAAATCTTAAAGCTGACATGTCTATAACTGGCAGAAAATAAATTCAGCTGCCAACTATAATAAAGAATATTTACATTTTAGGAGACAACTTAAAAATAGAGGAAATTTTATACAAAAAACTTGAACAGCACACAGTAATAAGACGTTTGAGGACATTTTAAAATGAAGGTGTAAGCCCTTTATTAAATAAACTACAGATTCATGTACACCACATAAAAAATGAACAAAATATTAGATCTATAAAATTGGCTACCTCAACCCATCAGACTTCATTTATTAAAAACCATCCTTCCAGTGTTTTAAAAACCTTAAAATACAATCATTGTTAGAGGAAAATAGGCAGATGTCCTCGCTTATGTACCAAGCCTCCTCCTCCATTTTTCTATGAGGCTCTGTTTTCTTTTCTGCAGCTTTCAAACATTTATTTAGAACATTTTAGATGAAATATGTTTAGTTAGAACAATTTCGATGGAACTACACCACCCATTATCTATAACTATTGGATAACTGTGGATTTAGGGGTCATTAAAAATGATGTCACCCTTGTTTGAGGATATCCCCTCCCTGCTGTCACACAAAAAGCCCAACCCCCAAATCTAAAAAGGCGTCACACCTCAGTCAACATGTTTTTGTCTTTTAAAACACCGATTCAGCTGAGCATGGGTCTGACTACCCTATCCCTGCCGAGGTCACAGAAACTGGTGAACTCTACTTCACCTGCACTATGGCCCGCCAGGTCCCGATAGGCAACTTGTTTGATGTGAAAATAAGTAAATAAACTATTTGGAAAGAAACTCTGCATGCAGATCACTTTTAAGATTAGACAAATAAATTAGTAGACAATGTTCGTGTCTTTATTACCAAATATCAATCACGTCATAATGTGTATTTTTTATGGCACGGGATTTTAAATTGTATACTTTTACTCTAGAATCAATGACGTAATTTTATTGTGTGTACTTTTCCGGGTCAGTCCCGGTGAAAGTTTTTTTTTTTTTTTTTTTTAAATAAAGTATACTTTCAGAACTTTTATAATAAAAGGGGTGTTTCTACAAATGAATATGTAAAAAATTAACATTTGGGAAAAATATAACATTATTCTCTACATAAATACGTATTTACAGTTCTACAAATAGTGGAGTTGCTCTCATCTAACTGAACAAACAAATAAAATAAAAATATACACGCTTGTAAACAAACTCCAGTTTTAGTAGAAGATATTTAAGGCCTAAAATAGTTTAGTAAATAAAACTCAAATTTCCAAATTCAAGTTTCTCCTAAATAAAATTATTTTATCCTCAAATTTGAAGATCTCTTAAGGGTGATCCTGTTGAAAATTGATAATAGTGTTGGAACCTCATAAAAACAACAAACATATTTTTTAAGCTGACAGAAAATTTAGCTTTATAATTCAAAACTTTTCAATTGGCAACACAGTCTACGTTTTAGTGGAAAACATATTGTGAAAATAAAGTATTTGTTCTCAACATGTATAGATAAAAATTTGTTTTTATTTATGAATATATCATTAATTTAAATTAAATCTCTATAATATTTTGAAAAAAGAAATTTTTTCTCTACATATTTTAAAATTCTACACATATTGCAGATGCTCTGATCAAGCAATACCGAAAATCAAAAAAATAAAATAAATAAACTAAATAAAATAAAATGAGTTTTAATAGAATATAGATATGTTTGTTAGAATAATTAAGATTAAATATTTTTAATAGAACCATTTAGATACCGTTTTCAGTTTTAGCAAATAAAAAGTATTTTGTATTTAAAATATTATTGAAGTGCCCATAAAAGTAAAGTTCCCTTTTCAAACTTGATGGTCTATAGGACAAGTGAAGTAGAGTTCACTTGTTTCTGTGGCCTTGGCACATGAAGAGATAGTGTGGTCAGCACTATGCCCAGCCGCCTTTATTTTCCCTAACGTGAGTTAGGTACACATCAGACTTGAACCCGGTTTTGAACTCGAGACTTACAGGTTAGCAGTCCAGCTCTCGACCGCTAGACCACTCCTTGAAGTGCCCATAGGTCAAAATAAAATGCTTACAAAAATAATGTTTAGAAAAATTGCATTCTGTTGAATTTGTGAGCACATTTATAAATTCTAGTGAAAATCAAATATTTATTTTACTGTGCATTACCTCCTGAAACAACCTTATTCCTGGCATAAAAATCTCTGGAAATTGATGACTTAAAACTATTGCTAGTTAATAATCCAACAACATATCTCTTTGTTTTATTGAAAAAAAATAACAAGAGACGAGGCACATCTTGGGATATTTTGGTTATTCACTTAGTACATGAATAGGATTAACTATAGCAGTAAGGGGCAAAAAACTTCCATTAAAGAGGAGCATTGACCTGGTCAAAATTTCAAACTATTTTTGACAGAATATCTGCTAGTGCATTGACGGCCATGTTGGATTCCCTTCACTCTCTTCTGGTGCTGCTATTTACTGATGTTAAAGTGTAAGATCTTTTACTTTCTGATATTTTATTTTTGTCTAGTATTTAAGTGTAAGATCTTTTACTTTCTGATATTTTATTTTTGTCTAGTATTTAAGTGTAAGATCTTTTACTTTCTGATATTTTATTTTTGTCTAGTATTTAAGTGTAAGATCTTTTACTTTCTGATATTTTATTTTTGTCTAGTATTTAAGTGTAAGATCTTTTACTTTCTGATATTTTATTTTTGTCTAGTATTTAAGTGTAAGATCTTTTACTTTCTGATATTTTATTTTTGTCTAGTATTTAAGTGTAAGATCTTTTACTTTCTGATATTTTATTTTTGTCTAGTATTTAAGTGTAAGTTCTTTTACTTTCTGATATTTTATTTTTGTCTAGGCCTTCAATGATTTAGTTTTTTTTTTTTTTTTTTAATATTTGATTATTTCAGTCAAGGTTTTAAAAGATTCCATTTGTCTACTTCATGAATAGTTTTTCTAGTTTAAAATTGTCTTTTGTATCTAGCCTATCTTTATATTTGTCATAAAAATTGTGCACTAGAGATTGGTGTAGCTAATGAATATTTCATATTTGTATCTAGTGCTTTAGAGATTAATGTAGCTAATGAATATTTCATATTTGTATCTAGTGCTTTAGAGATTGGTGTAGCTAATGAATATTTCATATTTGTATCTAGTGCTTTAGAGATTAATGTAGCTAATGAATATTTCATATTTGTATCTAGTGCTTTAGAGATTAATGTAGCTAATGAATATTTCATATTTGTATCTAGTGCTTTAGAGATTGGTGTAGCTAATGAATATTTCATATTTGTATCTAGTGCTTTAGAGATTAATGTAGCTAATGAATATTTCATATTTGTATCTAGTGCTTTAGAGATTAATGTAGCTAATGAATATTTCATATTTGTATCTAGTGCTTTAGAGATTGGTGTAGCTAATGAATATTTGATATTTGTATCTAGTGCTTTAGAGATTGGTGTAGCTAATGAATATTTGATATTTGTATCTAGTGCTTTTGTTGAGTGTGATAGAAGATGGCTGGACCAGCTAATGGCTGTCATGTTTGTACAGTCGATGGGTCCATACAGCAGCCAGACAACTCTCTTCTCCCAGCCAACGTTGGATTATTATTATGTCAAATTCTTGCACCTGTCCCATGAAAACCAGGTAAGATTCTCATGTCCTGACCCCAAGTCAAGCATTGCACCGCTATTCCTGTTGGGTTCTAACAAAGGTTTGTTGTCCGTCCCCCCCCCTCCCCTCCTGGGTTTTATCACCACAACCCACTAGGAGTTTGTTGTCACCCCCTGCAACCTCCATCTCTTCCAGCCTTTTATCACTTCCACCAACCACTTCCCTAAACCTCCCAATCAGGGTTTTATCCCTTCATTAAAAGATTGTGTACATTCATAACATTTGTGCTAAGAATTTCATTGAGTCAAGTCAGTGGTGTCAATTAAATTTTTCACTATTTTTCCAGTTGTTGTGTGATGAAATTTTAAATGAATTTGAGTCTATGGATTTTGATGATTTTTTGGTAAGTAATGAATTGAGCCAGTAAAAAAAGTTGTGAATATCATTTGTAAGAAATGTACTGACCCCAACCTGTATGACTTTGTACAACTCTTCCAATGTTTCAGGATGAGAAAGACCTTTTTGCCAGAAGGCAATTCACAATAAGTGGTACCTGTCTGTTCTACAAGGTAACAGGTCACTGTGGTCAGGTTTGGGGGGGGGGGGGGGGGGGGGGGGTGTTAGTTAAATCATTTATAAAATTATAAGAAGTGGTCAGCAGCTGGAGACAGACACCAGTCTTATAGGGGCAGGTAATAACTTCTTCAATATTACGCAAAAATGCTTTTCATTAAAGAAGCTAAATGACCTATATCTTTTTACCCGTTAATTTAAATCCACACATTATTGATAAAAATTAATCGTAATTGAATGCTCTACACACTGATATAAATTTTAAGTAATTATTTATTTATTGAAGAAAGATAATTACTCAGTTTAAAAGAAGAAAAAATAAAGAGTTGATTTTTTCAGGCAAAAAATAGGCTTCTGTCTGGAAAATTAATAATAAGAATTACTTTTCATGAGTTCTTATTCATAGAAAACAAAAGAAGACCTTTAAAAAATAAATATCCGCTTACTGTTTAATTTTCAGATTTCAGAAAAAGAAAGAAAGCCTTTATAATAAAAAAATAAAATAAAGCAAACTTGCTTTCTTCAATGCGGAGCCGGGAAGTGCCCTATCGGGCACCCGACAACTTAGCTTTATAGATCATCTAGATCTAGAATCTCTAGATCTATATGATCTAGAATCTCTAGATCTAGATGATCTAGAATATCTAGATCTAGATCAATATCTAGATCTAGAATCCAAATAGATAAAATAATTTTTTTAAGTTTAGGCCGAGAAAATCGTATTGTATACATTTCATAGCGTACATAGCTCTAAATCATATTTAAATGAAATAGTTCATTTCTTTTTATTCTAAACTCGGAAGATGACGTCATCAGTTTCGTGCTCTTTTTTTAGTGTAAACAATAAGCGACGTCATTTTTAAATGCGTTTCTTGTCCCAAGTTTAAACACTTTTCTGGTTGCATAAATAATACTGTTTCCCTACATTCAAATACGCCTTTATTTTTAATTTTTCTTCTTTAAATAAAATTGTGGTTATACATTTAAAACATCTAACATATTTTTTTCAACAAAAGTCTGTAGCAAGTTATCCATATATCGCTGCAGTTTCTGATGTGATGTCCGGCGAAAATATTTTGCGGACAGACAGAGATTGTAAACTTTTTTAAAAATAATAATTGTTTTATCGTAACCTGCTTTTTGTCAACATGAACATTCATAGATGTGTTTTTTAAAACCTATCGCATGCATAAGATGCATTTGTTCGATGTGTTTGTTAAATGTTTTTTCATGAAGATAATTATTGATTAGATTTGCTTGTTAGCATTTGTTTTGTTGAACCAGAATTACTTGATGTGCAGTCACCTATGTCCTGGTGAACAAAAAAATGTCAATCTGTTTGTGAACCTTCATGGCCTGTTGCTGGTGTCAAGACGACATGAGGTCAGGGTTTGGCATGAGATGAAGTCCTATAGCAGCCAGGATGATGCACAGTTTCCAACTGGCTACAGGCCTAGTCGCTCTAACACCCAACTTCTGCTTCTTGGCCTAGTATGTAGTCCAGACTTTACTTTTTATAAAGTTTTCTTTCTTTTTGACCTGATTTGGATATCACTTGTAACCCAAACATACAACGCACTACCCTGGTGTTTTCAAGTATTCTAACTTCACCTTCAAAATGAGCCAGGTGTATTAAATTTATTCTAACTTAAGCTTCACATCATCTGTAATAAGGGGTGCTCTAGAAATTTAGTTTAATAGAATTTCAAGTTGAGGTGATTCTATGATCCCTTTAATTATGAATTTTTTGTTTAAAAACTGTTCAAAAATATTAAGTCCACCTAAGTAATGTTTATTGAGCTAGCATAATAGGAATCAAATTTCTAGAAGTGTGAGGAAATAATTGTCAGTTCTTTAAAAAATAGAGTTTCAGGGTTTAAAAAATGTCAAAGTTTGGTTTTAGGATTGCTAAAATTAGGGTTTTTAATTAAAAGGGTTCTTTTAAAAAAAATGAAGCTGTATTTGACACTGAAAGCATTGGTTATAAAAATGACATTTTTCTCCATCCCACACAACGGTTACCTATAGGATGAAACTTTTTCTCTAGGGCTATATCTACTTGGTGGCATTGGTAGAGGTTGGAGGCTGCAGAACTCTGGCTCATGCCACACCCCTTTTGCTGGAGCAGGGGAGAGCAACACTGGAACAGCTGGAGACAGAAGGCATCTCAAGCTGCTGCCAGGATGTGTAAGCCACTGTCTCATTAGTCCACTGGGGTAGCCACTGTCTCATTAGTCCACTGGGGTAGCCACTGTCTCATTAGTCCACTGGGGTAGCCACTGTCTCATTAGTCCACTGGGGTAGCCACTGTCTCATTAGTCCACTGGGGTAGCCACTGTCTCATTAGTCCACTGGGGTAGCCACTGTCTCATTAGTCCACTGGGGTAGCCACTGTCTCATTAGTCCACTGGGGTAGCCACTGTCTCATTAGTCCACTGGGGTAGCCACTGTCTCATTAGTCCACTGAGGTAGCCACTGTCTCATTAGTCCACTGGGGTAGCCACTGTCTCATTAGTCCACTGGGGTAGCCACTGTCTCATTCTTGGACTGGGGTAGCCACTGTCTCATTAGTCCACTGAGGTAGCCACTGTCTCATTAGTCCACTGGGGTAGCCACTGTCTCATTCTTGGACTGGGGTAGCCACTGTCTCATTAGTCCACTGGGGTAGCCACTGTCTCATTCTTGGACTGGGGTAGCCACTGTCTCATTAGTCCACTGGGGTAGCCACTGTCTCATTAGTCCACTGGGGTAGCCACTGTCTCATTAGTCCACTGGGGTAGCCACTGTCTCATTAGTCCACTGGGGTAGCCACTGTCTCATTAGTCCACTGGGGTAGCCACTGTCTCATTAGTCCACTGGGGTAGCCACTGTCTCATTAGTCCACTGGGGTAGCCACTGTCTCATTAGTCCACTGGGGTAGCCACTGTCTCATTAGTCCACTGGGGTAGCCACTGTCTCATTAGTCCACTGAGGTAGCCACTGTCTCATTAGTCCACTGGGGTAGCCACTGTCTCATTAGTCCACTGGGGTAGCCACTGTCTCATTCTTGGACTGGGGTAGCCACTGTCTCATTAGTCCACTGAGGTAGCCACTGTCTCATTAGTCCACTGGGGTAGCCACTGTCTCATTCTTGGACTGGGGTAGCCACTGTCTCATTAGTCCACTGGGGTAGCCACTGTCTCATTCTTGGACTGGGGTAGCCACTGTCTCATTAGTCCACTGGGGTAGCCACTGTCTCATTAGTCCACTGGGGTAGCCACTGTCTCATTAGTCCACTGGGGTAGCCACTGTCTCATTAGTCCACTGGGGTAGCCACTGTCTCATTAGTCCACTGGGGTAGCCACTGTCTCATTAGTCCACTGGGGTAGCCACTGTCTCATTAGTCCACTGGGGTAGCCACTGTCTCATTAGTCCACTGAGGTAGCCACTGTCTCATTAGTCCACTGGGGTAGCCACTGTCTCATTCTTGGACTGGGGTAGCCACTGTCTCATTAGTCCACTGAGGTAGCCACTGTCTCATTAGTCCACTGGGGTAGCCACTGTCTCATTCTTGGACTGGGGTAGCCACTGTCTCATTAGTCCACTGGGGTAGCCACTGTCTCATTCTTGGACTGGGGTAGCCACTGTCTCATTAGTCCACTGAGGTAGCCACTGTCTCATTAGTCCACTGGGGTAGCCACTGTCTCATTAATCCACTGAGGTAGCCACTGTCTCATTAGTTCACTGAGGTAGCCACTGTCTCATTAGTCCACTGGGGTAGCCACTGTCTCATTAGTTCACTGAGGTAGCCACTGTCTCATTAATCCAATGGGGTAGCCACTGTCTCATTCTTGGACTGGGGTAGCCACTGTCTCATTAATCCACTGAGGTAGCCACTGTCTCATTAGTCCACTGGGGTAGCCACTGTCTCATTAATCCACTGGGGTAGCCACTGTCTCATTAGTCCACTGGGGTAGCCACTGTCTCATTAATCCACTGGGGTAGCCACTGTCTCATTCTTGGACTGGGGTAGCCACTGTCTCATTAGTCCACTGAGGTAGCCACTGTCTCATTAATCCACTGGGGTAGCCACTGTCTCATTAGTCCACTGAGGTAGCCACTGTCTCATTAGTCCACTGAGGTAGCCACTGTCTCATTAGTCCACTGGGGTAGCCACTGTCTCATTAGTCCACTGGGGTAGCCACTGTCTCATTAGTCCACTGGGGTAGCCACTGTCTCATTAGTCCACTGAGGTAGCCACTGTCTCATTAGTCCATTGGGGTAGCCACTGTCTCATTAGTCCACTGAGGTAGCCACTGTCTCATTATTGGACTGGGGTAGCCACTGTCTCATTAGTCCACTGGGGTAGCCACTGTCTCATTAGTCCACTGGGGTAGCCACTGTCTCATTAGTCCACTGAGGTAGCCACTGTCTCATTAGTCCACTGGGGTAGCCACTGTCTCATTAGTCCACTGAGGTAGCCACTGTCTCATTAGTCCACTGAGGTAGCCACTGTCTCATTAGTCCACTGGGGTAGCCACTGTCTCATTAGTCCACTGAGGTAGCCACTGTCTCATTAGTCCACTGGGGTAGCCACTGTCTCATTAGTCCACTGAGGTAGCCACTGTCTCATTAGTCCACTGGGGTAGCCACTGTCTCATTAGTCCACTGGGGTAGCCACTGTCTCATTAGTCCACTGGGGTAGCCACTGTCTCATTAGTCCACTGAGGTAGCCACTGTCTCATTAGTCCATTGGGGTAGCCACTGTCTCATTAGTCCACTGAGGTAGCCACTGTCTCATTATTGGACTGGGGTAGCCACTGTCTCATTAGTCCACTGGGGTAGCCACTGTCTCATTAGTCCACTGGGGTAGCCACTGTCTCATTAGTCCACTGGGGTAGCCACTGTCTCATTAGTCCACTGGGGTAGCCACTGTCTCATTAGTCCACTGGGGTAGCCACTGTCTCATTAGTCCACTGGGGTAGCCACTGTCTCATTAGTCCACTGGGGTAGCCACTGTCTCATTAGTCCACTGGGGTAGCCACTGTCTCATTAGTCCACTGGGGTAGCCACTGTCTCATTGTTGGACTGGGGTAGCCACTGTCTCATTAGTCCACTGGGGTAGCCACTGTCTCATTAGTCCACTGGGGTAGCCACTGTCTCATTATTCCACTGGGGTAGCCACTGTCTCATTAGTCCACTGGGGTAGCCACTATCTCATTAGTCCACTGGGGTAGCCAGTCTCATTAGTCCACTGGGGTAGCCACTGTCTCATTAGTCCACTGAGGTAGCCACTGTCTCATTAGTCCACTGGGGTAGCCACTGTCTCATTAGTCCACTGGGGTAGCCACTGTCTCATTAGTCCATTGGGGTAGCCACTGTCTCATTAGTCCACTGGGGTAGCCACTGTCTCATTAGTCCACTGGGGTAGCCACTGTCTCATTAGTCCACTGGGGTAGCCACTGTCTCATTATTGGACTGGGGTAGCCACTGTCTCATTAGTCCACTGGGGTAGCCACTGTCTCATTAGTCCACTGGGGTAGCCACTGTCTCATTAGTCCACTGGGGTAGCCACTGTCTCATTAATCCACTGGGGTAGCTACTGTCTCATTAGTCCACTGGGGTAGCCACTGTCTCATTAGTCCACTGGGGTAGCCACTGTCTCATTATTGGACTGGGGTAGCCACTGTCTCATTATTGGACTGGGGTAGCCACTGTCTCATTAGTCCACTGGGGTAGCCACTGTCTCATTAGTCCACTGAGGTAGCCACTGTCTCATTAATCCACTGGGGTAGCCACTGTCTCATTATTGGACTGGGGTAGCCACTGTCTCATTAGTCCACTGAGGTAGCCACTGTCTCATTAATCCACTGGGGTAGCCACTGTCTCATTAGTCCACTGGGGTAGCCACTGTCTCATTAGTCCACTGGGGTAGCCACTGTCTCATTAATCCACTGGGGTAGCCACTGTCTCATTAGTCCACTGAGGTAGCCACTGTCTCATTATTGGACTGGGGTAGCCACTGTCTCATTAGTCCACTGGGGTAGCCACTGTCTCATTAGTCCACTGAGGTAGCCACTGTCTCATTAATCCACTGGGGTAGCCACTGTCTCATTAGTCCACTGGGGTAGCCACTGTCTCATTAGTCCACTGGGGTAGCCACTGTCTCATTAGTCCACTGGGGTAGCCACTGTCTCATTAGTCCACTGGGGTAGCCACTGTCTCATTAGTCCACTGGGGTAGCCACTGTCTCATTAGTCCACTGGGGTAGCCACTATCTCATTAGTCCACTGGGGTAGCCACTGTCTCATTATTGGACTGGGGTAGCTACTGTCTCATTAGTCCACTGGGGTAGCCACTGTCTCATTAGTCCACTGGGGTAGCCACTGTCTCATTAGTCCACTGGGGTAGCCACTGTCTCATTAGTCCACTGGGGTAGCCACTGTCTCATTAGTCCACTGGGGTAGCCACTGTCTCATTAGTCCACTGGGGTAGCCACTGTCTCATTAGTCCACTGGGGTAGCCACTGTCTCATTAGTCCACTGGGGTAGCCACTGTCTCATTATTGGACTGGGGTAGCTACTGTCTCATTAGTCCACTGGGGTAGCCACTGTCTCATTAGTCCACTGGGGTAGCCACTGTCTCATTATTTGTTAGACTGAGGTAGCCACTATCTCATTGTTGGACTGGGGTAGCCACTGTCTTATTATTTGTTAGACTGAGGTAGCCATTGTCTCATTATTTGTTAGACTGAGGTAGCCACTGTCTCATTGTTGGACTGGGGTACTCACTAGCCTCTAACATCTTTAGGTTAAACAGTACAGCTGATGGCATCTTGTTAGCATCACCTGAGGTTCTTTCTTCTGTCAGCCCAGGTAGGGGTAGATCATCTGCCAGAGGAAGTCAAACAGGTACATTTTAATAGATGAATACATCATAACTCTGGTTGGTAAATAATCTAATCAGTAGAGCTGAGCTCACAGAAACAGGTGAACTCTATTTCACTTGCTCGTGGACCATTGTCAAGTTTGAAAAGGGAACTTTACTCAGATTGACAAAGACCTAATGCAAAACTCCATGTGTAGTAGAGTCCTAACCAAACCCCATGTGTCCAGTAGAGTCCTAACAAAACCCCATGTGTCCAGTAGAGTCCTAACAAAACCCCATGTGTCCAGTAGAGTCCTAACAAAACTCCATGTGTCCAGTATAGTCCTAACAAAACCCCATGTGTCCAGTAGAGTCCTAACAAAACTCCATGTGTCCAGTAGAGTCCTAACAAAACCCCATGTGTCCAGTAGAGTCCTAACAAAACCCCATGTGTCCAGTAGAGTCCTAACAAAACCCCATGTGTCCAGTAGAGTCCTAACAAAACCCCATGTGTCCAGTAGAGTCCTAACAAAACTCCATGTGTCCAGTAGAGTCCTAACAAAACCCCATGTGTCCAGTAGAGTCCTAACAAAACCCCATGTGTCCAGTTTTGTAATAATCCTTACAAGAAGGTGTGCTGCTATTCTGTGCTTGGTGGATACAAGCTGTATCATGACATTAAGATATTCTGTGCAGTGGATACAAGCTATATCATTATATAATAATTAGTTTTGATACTACAAGTAGAGGATAAATTTAACCTTTTCTTTCAGCCTCAACGTCATCCAGAAATGAAAGTGTCCTACGGTCCAAGTCAGTTGACAGACTAGGTACTGTGTCACATTATCTTCTTTACGGTCCAAGTCAGTTGACAGACTAGGTATTGTGTCACATTATCTTCTTTACGGTCCAAGTCAGTTGACAGACTAGGTATTGTGTCACATTATCTTCTTTACGGTCCAAGTCAGTTGACAGACTAGGTACTGTGTCACATTATCTTCTTTACGGTCCAAGTCAGTTGACAGACTAGGTACTGTGTCACATTATCTTCTTTACGGTCCAAGTCAGTTGACAGACTAGGTATTGTGTCACATTATCTTCTTTATGGTCCAAGTCAGTTGACAGACTAGGTACTGTGTCACATTATCTTCTTTACGGTCCAAGTCAGTTGACAGACTAGGTACTGTGTCACATTATCTTCTTTACGGTCCAAGTCAGTTGACAGACTAGGTACTGTGTCACATTATCTTCTTTACGGTCCAAGTCAGTTGACAGACTAGGTACTGTGTCACATTATCTTCTTACGGTCCAAGTCAGTTGACAGACTAGGTACTGTGTCACATTATCTTCTTTACAGTCCAAGTCAGTTGACAGACTAGGTACTGTGTCACATTATCTTCTTTATGGTCCAAGTCAGTTGACAGACTAGGTACTGTGTCACATTATCTTCTTTACGGTCCAAGTCAGTTGACAGACTAGGTACTGTGTCACATTATCTTCTTTACGGTCCAAGTCAGTTGACAGACTAGGTACTGTGTCACATTATCTTCTTTACGGTCCAAGTCAGTTGACAGACTAGGTACTGTGTCACATTATCTTCTTTACGGTCCAAGTCAGTTGACAGACTAGGTACTGTGTCACATTATCTTCTTACGGTCCAAGTCAGTTGACAGACTAGGTACTGTGTCACATTATCTTCTTTATGGTCCAAGTCAGTTGACAGACTAGGTACTGTGTCACATTATCTTCTTTATGGTCCAAGTCAGTTGACAGACTAGGTACTGTGTCACATTATCTTCTTAATGGTACAAGTCAGTTGACAGACTAGGTACTGTGTCACATTATCTTCTTAATGGTACAAGTCAGTTGACAGACTAGGTACTGTGTCACATTATCTTCTTTATGGTCCAAGTCAGTTGACAGACTAGGTACTGTGTCACATTATCTTCTTTAAGTAAGAGGCCTGTAGAACCCAGATTAAAGTAAACAAGCAGGAAGGGGGTGTGGGGGGGGGGGGGGTAAACAAACAGGGTAAGGGTGTTCAAGTTGGTAAACACACGGATGGGAGAGGTCAAGTTGGCAGAGTGACAGTCCTGAAGTTTGTAAATTATATTTTTTCTGATACCAGAAAGTGACAAGCTGTTTTTTACTGGTGGTAGCTTTCTTTCAGTGTAAACTAGTATTGTTGACAAAAATCATTGTATATCTGTGATGTTGACAATGATAACCACCCAAAAAAAATTATTTTTTTATACCAGAAAGTAAATTTTTTTTTTTAATAATTAGAAAGTAAAAACTGGTTAAATAAATATATTTATTTTGTACCAGAAAGTGACAACAGGTTAAATAAATATTTTTTTTTATACCAGAAAGTGACAACACGTTTGATTTGTCAAACATTAGACGCCAGGGCAGTAAATTGTCGTATGGCTCGAATGATTCAGCTGGTAGCGGTGGTAGTGCTGGACATACTAAGGTGATATGTTTATACATATCCTCTGTCTTTTGTTGTATCCTGTGTCTCTTTTTGTATCCTGCAGCTTATGTTGTATCTTGTACATAATTTTGTTTGCTGCATCTAATGTTCTATTCTGTTTAAAGTTGCATCTATAAATTTATCCTTAGTTAATTAACACATTGTTCTCATTCAAATAATTTTGGTTAAAGTATTTTGGTGTGTCCTGTGTCTGTTCTAATGAAAATATTTGATCAAAGTATTTTGTTTGAAACCTTTTAGAGCAGAGGAAGCAGAGTGAGTTCTGTGGTGGATCTGGCTGGGCTTAGTCTGTCAGCTTTAAACATCCATTTCCCCCAGGAGGTTTATAAAGGACACTGGTAAGTTGGTCAGTTCAGACATGTGTCGGTCAGTTCAGACATGATGTGTCAGTCAGTGTTGGTCAGTTCAGACATGATGTGTCAGTCAGTGTTGGTCAGTTCAGACATGTGTCGGTCAGCTCAGACATGATGTGTCAGTCAGTGTTGGTCAGTTCAGACATGATGTGTCAGTCAGTGTCGGTCAGTTCAGACATGTGTCGGTCAGCTCAGACATGATGTGTCAGTCAGTGTTGGTCAGTTCAGACATGATGTGTCAGTCAGTTCAGACATGTGTCGGTCAGTTCAGATATGATGTGTCAGTCAGTGTCGGTCAGTTCAGACATAATATGTTGGTCAGTTCACATTCAATACGTCAGGTTAATAAAATGTCTGAGTATTGTTAACTTTTTATGAAGAAAAAAAACCACTTGAAATGTTTTATGATTAAATCATGAATCAGTATTATGTTTTTACCATTTTGAATATGGAATATATAGAGGAATTGTAGTTATTGTGCTAAAAATCAAAAAGATTTGACCAATTTTGACATTTAATACCTATGTGAGCTGGGAAAACTTCTATGCAATCTTGCCTTGTGTCTGTTTGTTTTGAACTATCTCAAAAGCTGATAACTCAAATACTTTTTCTGTTTGGTGCAACAAAATTTCATATTTAAGTATCATCTCCTGTACATAGATTTCTTCATACTTTTTAGAAATTTCCGGTAAACTGAACAAGTACTTCACTCTATTTCTGATTCCTCACTTTGAAATTTGATAATTTGATATCATATTCTTAATTAAAAGCTTAATAGAACTTTTTGTCTCTGTGTGTTCTTGAAGCAGATTTGTCACATACTTCTATAACCAGATGGCACTAGAAGAGCCCAACCCTAACCCAACCCTAACCCAACCCTAACCGGAATCTGTTTGCACTTGATAAAATTTTGAGGCAGTGTTTTAATTCAAGTGACCAATGTTTTAGGCTGTGTCGGGGCGGCACAAACAAGGTATTCATGTATGCTGCTGTAGGAGAAGGAATTGTCCTAACTCCAACTGAAGCCGAGCTGACAGAGCTCCACTCACAGCTTCAGGATCAAGTCTTGGACAACTTTTATCTGGCCACCCTCAAAATAAGAGCTTTATTCAAAGAACAGGTACAGTGTCACATAACCCGGATCTTAGGAAACAAAAATGACTTACAGCAACTGAACTCTGACAAATTACTTTACAACTACCCAGCTTCAAAAAAGTATCACAAATGCTAGTAAATAATGCTATTAAGTTTAATTTTCCCACAGACTTGTTATTGATGTGTTTCTATGTGTGGTTCATCTCAAGAGAATTGAAAGATGAAGTTAAGACCTTAGCACGTTGACAGTGAGGATTAAGTGGGAGGGGCAGAATGGCTTTTAGGGGCCCTCAAATTTTCTCTTATCAACAAAAAATAGAAATAATTTTCCAATTGGTTTACTTTGGGGATTTTTTTTCCAATAAATGAATAGATGTTTAAATGTACAAAGCAAGGGTCACAAAAAATGGTGTGCAACCGTTTTAGACATGGACATCTTCATTAGTTGTGTTACGTCTCTGTTGTGTTCTTTTAAAAACTTAACAGATTGTCATTGAAACAAATGAAAAAATGGGGGACAATGTGTAGTGTTGTATGATATGTAAGATGTTAAATGACATGAGATGACTATGTAAGATGTTAAATGACATGAGATGACTATGTAAGATGTTAAATGACATGAGATGACTATGTAAGATGTTAAATGACATGAGATGACTATGTAAGATGTTAAATGACATGAGATGACTATGTAAGATGTTAAATGACATAAGATGACTATGTATTATGTTAAATGACATGAGATGACTATGTAATATGTTAAATGACATGAGATGACTATGTAAGATGTTAAATAACATGAGATGACTATGTAATATGTTAAATGACATGAGATGACTATGTAAGATGTTAAATGACATGAGTTGACTATGTAAGATGTTAAATGACATGAGATGACTATGTAAGATGTTAAATGACATAAGATGACTATGTATGATGTTAAATGAAATGAGATGACTATGTAATATGTTAAATGACATGAGATGACTATGTAATATGTTAAATGACATGAGATGACTATGTAAGATGTTAAATGACATGAGATGACTATGTAAGATGTTAAATGACATGAGATGACTATGTAAGATGTTAAATGACATGAGATGACTATGTAAGATGTTAAATGACATGAGATGACTATGTAAGATGTTAAATGACATGAGATGACTATGTAAGATGTTAAATGACATAAGATGACTATGTATTATGTTAAATGACATGAGATGACTATGTAATATGTTAAATGACATGAGATGACTATGTAATATGTTAAATAACATGAGATGACTATGTAATATGTTAAATGACATGAGATGACTATGTAAGATGTTAAATGACATGAGTTGACTATGTAAGATGTTAAATGACATGAGATGACTATGTAAGATGTTAAATGACATAAGATGACTATGTATGATGTTAAATGAAATGAGATGACTATGTAATATGTTAAATGACATGAGATGACTATGTAAGATGTGAAATGACATGAGATGACTATGTAAGATGTGAAATGACATGAGATGACTATGTAATATGTTAAATGACATGAGATGACTATGTAATATGTTAAATGACATGAGATGACTATGTAATATGTTAAATGACATGAGATGACTATGTAATATGTTAAATGACATGAGATGACTATGTAATATGTTAAATGACATGAGATGACTATGTAATATGTTAAATGACATGAGATGACTATGTAATATGTTAAATGACATGAGATGACTATGTAATATGTTAAATGACATGAGATGACTATGTAATATGTTAAATGACATGAGATGACTATGTAATATGTTAAATGACATGAGATGACTATGTAATATGTTAAATGACATGAGATGACTATGTAAGATGTTAAATGACATGAGATGACTATGTAATATGTTAAATGGCATGAGATGACTATGTAAGATGTTAAATGACATGAGATGACTATGTAAGATGTTAAATGACATGAGATGACTATGTAAGATGTTAAATGACATGAGATGACTATGTAAGACGTTAAATGACATGAGATGACTATGTAAGATGTTAAATGACATGAGATGACTATGTAATATGTTAAATGACATGAGATGACTATGTAATATGTTAAATGACATAAGATGACTATGTAAGATGTTAAATGACATAAGATGACTATGTAATATGTTAAATGACATGAGATGACTAATTGTTATCTGATGGGCAGATGGTAGTCAAGATTGAAAAGCCATCACTGCTGCCAGCATTAGACAAAGATTATAGAGAACATGGGCTCTTATTTCAGTGTAGAAGTCATCAAAGTTTTGACAAGAGGCATCAAACATCATTAGGATACTGGGTGATCGGGTGAGTGTTTGGTTGAGTGGGGGTGATTGATTGGGTGAGTGATTGGGTGGGGGTGATTGGTTGAGTGGGGGTTGATTGATTGGGTGAGTGATGATTAATTGGGCGATGTGGGTGGTGAATACAATCAGAAATGGGCTCTAGAATTAGGTTTGTACATTTTTTTGACAGGAATGAAATTGTTTTGATTTTGTTCATCTCCAGCCGCTGTGACCCAACCCAGAAAGAAATGTTTGTTTGTTTCCACGAATCTACAAGTCAATCCTTAGTTGAAATGGCATTTAGTCTTGGATTTGGGACATGATATCCAGTTTGTTGTCTACCCCTGTTGTTTTATGGACTTGCCCATCTAGTGCAATTAGTTGTTATGACAACCTCTTCTTGCCAGGTTTAGTTGCTATGACAACCTGCTGTGGCCAGGTTTAGTTGCTATGACAACCTGCTGTGGCCAGGATTTTTACAAGCATATTTTTGCATTGGCTATGTTGGAATGACTGGTTGAATGTATTTTTGGAATACAATAGTTGAAAAAGTTAGTTGATTAATGTTATGAAGTCTGAGAAAGTGAGTTGACAATATGAAACACTGCTGTATGTTGAAAATGTTTGTACATGAATTACATGACATTCCCAACAGCTCTCATTCTAACCAGACAAATATATTTATATTGTAATTCTAACCATTCCATCCATGTATTATATTAACAAGTGTAAATACATTTTTTATTTATGAATATTTTCTACAATAAACTAGACATGGCAGCCCAATCTGAAATGATAAATATACATTTGAGGTATTTTGGATTACATATTTCAGTTGCTAATCAATGTGGATTATGAAAATGCTCGAGACAATGTTTTGTAACAAAGATTTCCTGTAATATCTTGACAGAAAATGTACCTCAAACTAATTTAAAATAAACCGGGAGTGATCTCCCCTAAACTTTCTCGAATATTCTTATATAACTTGGAATATAGACATGATTTTTAATTACTTAAACTTTATAAATAGAATAGAATCTCATAGAAAAAAGATATTATTAGTACTTTATAAATTTACATGCGTTTTTTGAGAAATCGGAAATAGCGTAAATTAGTACTTCCGGTCAACAGAAATTACTCAAAATTTGACAGAAGGTAGAGATTTAGATCTTTTACTTACATGTGAAATTTTATTTATCTATCCTAAATAGTACTCAAGTTATAGGCTTTTAAAAAATTCAAAGTAGAAAAAGTACCACTTCCGGTTATCGGAAATCGCTCAAAAGTTGATACGGATCTACGATTTTGATAAAATACTTATATATGAAATTTCATCAACCTAGCTGTAACGGTACTCAAGTTATCGTGTTTACACACTGACAGACATACGGACAAGATTGCAAAATTATGTTTTCCCGTATCAGTGAGGTGTAAAACGTCGAGATTTGTAAAAATCTCGATTTTTTTTGTGTGCACGATTACAAGACTTTCTCTATACTTCGTATATACGAGAAAGTAAAAAGGGGCGTGGTTTTGTGCACTGCGACTCAGAAGATGTTCCATATACTCTTATTACATGTTTAGTATACACTTTAGTCGGTCAAGTCATCGTGATCTTCATTTGACTCAACATCTATTGTTATGTTCCCATGACAATATCTTGCTTCTGTCTCCTTTTTCCAACCACTCGAGGACGTTTTGTGGGCAAATAACGTTCTACTGATGATAAAGATACGTGTCAGCCTCCCGTGTAAAGTTCTGTGTCACTAAGAAAGGTGATGTCAACGATATTGGCGATGAATGCAAGAGCGATGAATGCAAGACAGATTAAGCAGAAAAAGGTGCGGACACTATTCTATACTTACTATACTAGTTGTGAGAATTTGTGCTGGAGCGGGGACTGGAACTTCCTCACTCGACTTTCAAATACTTAATTTATAAAAATAAATAGAATCTCATAGAAAAAAGAATTGCGCATCGAATGAATAGCAAATAATGTGTATAACTAGTATAATAGTGGGGAACATTAGAACTTTATAAAGAAAGACAGGATTACAGTTACAAATAAATTAATTTGCATTTTTTAAGAAATCTGAAATATGATATAAAATACTACTTCCGGTCACCGGAATTCACTCAGAATTTGTCAGAAAACCGATAATTAAATCTACATATGTGTGAGCTTAATGGGTAGTATAGTTTCATACGGTGGGAGCTTAACATTTTTTTAAAGGGCCGAAAGTCTCAAGACACCAAGCTTGCAGAAATAACCACGTACGTTTAAATGGACGAGTGATGGATGGTTTAGGGGCTGTTTAATTGAACAACAACATAAGTAATCAATTAAACGTCGCATAAGTGTCAAAACGGTAGTGATTGTTTTTCCCCGTTAAATTAACCGAACGGTCGGCGGTACCGGTACATGACGTCACGAGCGAGCGTGAACTCGGTAACGATGTGCTAAGTGGGGGATGAAAAGGTGGGGTTCAAGAAATGCTTTTTAAATTTCTTGACCCTTCTTAATAGTTCTATCGTACCCATTGACATAAAGGATCACCAATGAATGACGCGTCATACTTCTACAGCTGGTCTTTCTCCCACAACCATCCCCAGTTTTCAAACACAAAAAAAATAAAAAAATCTGACCCGTCTCAAACTCACATCGCTGATCTACTCAACCTCTCCCCACTACAAATCACAATTTCTATCTGAAACAATATATTCATCGTTATATTTGTTCTTTAATAGTGCACGCTGTCATAACTATCTTAACCCCGTAAGATTGATTTGATTACTGCAAAAATAGTGTTCAAAAGTTTGACCTCCCAACAATTGTTTTGGTCTAGGATGCACACTATTAAGTCTGAAAAGGTCTATTAGTCATTCATTTCAACTAGATCTATATTTTTAAAAAAAATATTAGATCTATACAGGCTTATATAAAAACGATATAAAACCACCATAGTAAACCACAAAATCAACACAACAGACATGCGGATAGACAATTTGTCAAAAGGAAACGGTAAAACTCCATTTTAGCGTATTTTATTCCCCGCTTCACGTTCACCTCCAGTTGAGCGTATTTTATTATAAACACAACCGAAACACACAAAAACGTTAGGAAAACACAAGATCTACTTTTTTTATGAATGTGGTTTTTAATTAGAAAAGGTAAAAAAAAAAGCATTAGAACTGTTCCAATTAAATATCATGTGATCGTAAGCGGGAGAAAAAACCTTACACGGTCGCGGGTTCACAGTGAGTTCACATAGACTTTAATTATCAGCATACGTCATAGCTCGGGCCAGAGCCGGCGTTAGGGGGTGGCAAACGGGGCGGTCGCCCCAGGCCCCGCGCTCGAAGGGCCCCGCGCTTCAGCACCGTTATTGCTATCTGAATTAGTTTGTAAACTTAAATAATTGTTGCTGAATTCAATTGGGAAAAACGTAATGGTCGAATGCAGACGTTGTTGATTGTTATAACTGAGACCACGGTTGATGTTCGTGAGTTATAACCCACCTGAACTGGGAAAGGCCGTAGTTCGATACAAAAACAGTGTCACACCTCGCTGTGTGCTGGGTACGGTCGCCTCGCATTTGACCTGAGGTGACTGGAGATAGTCGACGAGAATTAGCCCCCGACCTGACGTGGGATGTAAATTTGGGAAAGAGATACCCTATTGTGTGCGGACCGATGAAGACGTCCTTTTAGTGAGCAGACGGGATGTCTGCAGTAGACAGCGACCTGATGAACTATAGTCCTGACTTTCTTGTTGTAGATGTTGTATATGTAGGCCTACTTGTCTTGGTATAACAAAATTAACATTCATTTGCGTGCAGAGGGGTGGGAGGAGGGCGACGGGGGTAGGGGGGGGGGGGGGGGAACCATGGGGATGTACATCAGTAGGCATTAAACAGAGTGATTTATTTTATTAATTTTTTTTGAGAAGAAAGTTAAGTGTTGCTATGTTGTGTAATCTTAAGTATTAATCCTTTCCAAGACAGAATGATTAATTTACCGAATTTATCCAAATTGTTTTATTCAATCGTCTTCTAGTGGTGCTCACATGATATAGTCCGCAAACAGTGTTTCTTCCAGACTTTTTTCTCCGGGGGGGCACTTGAAATCTTCGGGGGGGGCGGTAAACTTTCTTCGGGGGGGCGGACACTGTTAAAAGTATATATTTTCTATATAAATTATATAAATTTCATTTCGTTCGGGGGGGGGGGGGGGGGGGCGGTAAAAAATTTTCGGGGGGGGGGGGGCAAAGCCCCCCCGAAGAGATGCCTGGAAGAAACTCTGTCCGCAAATCGTCCTCGTTGCACAATTTTTATGGAGGAAGGAGAATCGCTGTAGGCAGTGGCGTAGCGAGGTCGGGTGTCACCCGGTGCGGCACTTAATGGTGTCACCCCCCAGAGGCGCAACGACCCTTCCCGGGGACAAACTTTCAATTTTCGATTTACACCCCCCCCCCTCAAACTTTCGATTTGCACCCCCCCCCCTCAAACCTTCCATTTGCACCCCCCCTCTCAAACTTTCGATTTGCACCCCCCCACCTCTTAAAAGGCTATTTAACACTCTAATTAATCGCTCTATTAAGTGGAATTATCATTTTTCTCTATATATTTTGCTATTTTTTGCCTTGGTGTCACCCCCCCTAAATGGTGTCACCCGGTGCGGTCCGCACCCCCCTCGCTACGCCCCTGGCTGTGGGCAACGAATGGTAGCGATTAGTAATCAATAATATTCCCCTTTTAAACTAGGTCTTTCAATGTGTATCTGATACTTTGGTGAACTTTAAAACTACATAGATCTATGTAGTTTGTTTTCACGATTTGTAACTAGTGTTGATGCACGATTCGAGCTAAGTCCAAAACTTATCAATCTTTTACATTTCTTTTCAACTTTTTAGATACATCTCAAACGCATGACTTTTATATTAACTATTAGTCATTAACAAACAATTTAAACCACTTAATGGTCCTAATCTTTTAGTAAGTGATTGAATTTTCTTTGGTGATTTCGTATGGATTACATAACTGTCAAAAGTAATTTAATATCTAAGCAAAAAAAAAAAACAACAGAACATTAGGTAAAAACGTAGGAGAGGTGAACATCTGTTCTTAAAGTGATAAGTTTGGCATTAGCTTATAGACTCCACAACATTAATGTGGGATTATGTATGAATGCATATTATATAGGCATATATATATATATATATATATATATATATATATATATATATATATATATATATATATATATATATATATATATATAGGAAAAAAGTAGGCCCCGCGCGGAAGGTTGGCCATAGGCCCCGCGTATCCCTAACGCCGGCTCTGGCTCGGGCAATAGCTGTTTGAAATTGTGTTGGCCTCAGTCTTGGGGGTCATTGTAAGTTCATAAATGTTTATTTATCATGCCTGGGAGATACTTGTAAAAATACAAACTTAACCGTTTACGTACTTCACCCATTGCCATGAAAATTCTGACACACGAACATTGCACATTCATATCATTCAATAATATAAATTTGGATTTTTCTCAAGTTTTGACAAAAGTAAATTATCAAAATTAAAACAAAGTCAATCTCTTTGTTTTTTACTTTCTCGTATATACGTAGTATAGAGAAAGTATTGTAATCGTGCAAAAAAAAAAAATCGAGATTTTTACAAATCTCGACGTTTTACACCTCACTGATACGGAAAAACATAATTTTGCAATCTTGTCCGTATGTCTGTGTGTGTGTGTGTGTGTCTGTCTGTGTGTCCGTGTGTAAACACGATAACTTGAGTACCGTTACTGCTAGGTTGATGAAATTTCATATATAAGTATTTTATCAAAATCGTAGATCCGTATCAACTTTTGAGCGATTTCCGATAACCGGAAGTGGTACTTTTTCTACTTTGAATTTTTCAAAAGCCTATAACTTGAGTACTATTTCAGATAGATAAATGAAATT